GGCACCAGGGCTGTGAGGAGGGGAGGAAGGGGGAGCCAGATACGGAGGCTTTCGCCAGCTTCAGCACCCCGGCTCTCCAGACAGCTGATCCGCCCCAGGCCCCTCTGGGTCTGGGCTGCTGCAGGAGGGCAGGGGTCACCGGTCAGTCCCGAGGCAGAAAGGACGCCTGAGCTCATAGGACCCGGGAGAGGTGGAGGGGGTGGACCCTGATGGAGCTGAGAAGAGGGAAGGCGATTCTACAGAGAAAGGAGCTTGAGTTTTGAGGATGTTCAATCTGATGGCCATGTGGTCACTTTGAGTTCATCGTGTGTAGGCCTCGAACTCACTTCCAGTAACATCCACCTGTCAGTTTCCTTAGGTACCTCTTACCTTCCTTTTCTCAGCAGGAGGTGCTCACTTCAGCAGTGAGTCTAGCGACGCACCCTTGGGGCTGCTGAGAGCACGGGTTCCCCCAGTGCCTGAGCGCCCCAGGGGCTGTAGCTTTAGCAGGGCTCTGTTCCTCCAGAGCAAGCCTGGGCAAGGCTAAGTGCCCCTGGGGTCTGCAGGAGGCGAGGCAGTAATCAAACAGCCCATTCAGGAAGGGGGCGTGGCTTCAGAAACCACTGCCGCAACTCAACTCACATTATTAAGGATGGTCCCGTCTGCCCCAGCTTCCAGTAAGATTTTAGCCACCTTCTTGTGATTTAGGGCAGCAGCAATATGAAGTGCGGTGTCTCCAGCCTGAAATTAATCAAAAGAAAGCCTGCTAATAACACCCACGCGCTCACGGCCCCCAGCCCTCTGGCTTGTCATCCCATGGTGGTGGCTTTTCAAAGTCAAACTCAGATTTGCCTTAGACCGTAATGGGGCACTTTGCTGAAGTGGTATGTGGTTCTTTTAAAAGAGATTTTGGAACGAAACCTATGCACTAATACCACATTCCTTTCTGCCTGGAGATACCAGAAACCACAGGATTAAGGGCAGAGGGCAAAGCAGTGCTGGGTGGGTTGTTGAGAACAGTGAGATCAGAAGCCTCACATCAAGGCAAGACGACAGGCTAGTCAGGGGCCAGCAAGCCCTCCATCCCAGAGCTCTGGACTATGTCCCTCTGCCCAGGCACGTAAGAGGGCAGAGAACCCCTTAGGTTTCTGAGGCTCGAATGAGCAGAGCCTGCAAAGACGGCTACAAGCACCAGCCCATCCCTGCGGCGCCTGCAGGGGAGTGACGGGGCCATTGGAATCACTGTGGACAAACATGACAAATGCTGCTTTGGGGGCTAATTCCAAATACAAATGCTGGTTTTCCAATGCCCCCCTACTACCCCAAGCAGAATGATGTATTTTTAAAAAATCAGGCAAATATAGAAATTCCTATCAGGTAATCAGGTATAGCAGCCTGATACTTTTTTCCCTGGGCAGTGTGTAAATCCAGCCATCTCTGTGGCCCTCTTTCCCAGGGAGTAGCCAGGGAGGTATTTCTTCCATTGCTGAGTTACTTGTGGTGTGTGGGGGAGCAAGCTCTGTGGCAGCGGTTTCCGAGCCTGGCTGCACACTGCAGTCAGCTGGGGGCATTGAAAAACTACTGATGCCTGGGCCCCCAGACACTGAATTGGTCTGGAGTACATGTCGGGCGCAGTGATTCTTCAAAGCTCCAAAGTGACTGACACAAGCTGCCATGGCTGAACCCCCCCAGTGAGTGGGGGCTGTGGAGGGTTGTGACCTGATGAACTAGAACCCACTGGCAGGCTGTGGGATGACACAATTCAGCTATTCTGCCAGGTCAGTGGTTCTCCATCCTGTCTGCACACTCGGGCCATGTACTTTTAAGAAATCCCATTATGTGGATATTTTGGTCATTTAAATTGAGGTGGGATTCAGGATGGTGTTTTTAATTCTCTTGTTGATTCTTATATGTAGCCAAGGTCAGAAAACACCATTATAAGGAATATGTGAATAACAGTCTATTTTTGAAATTGATCTACAGTTTTATATTGGTTTCAAGTACACAGCACAGTGGTTCAACAGTTACCCATTATTATTAAATCCTCAGCCCACTAGTACAGCTATCTGTCAACATAGGGAGATAAAACAATCTATTTTTAAGATTTCAGATATATACACCTAAACTCAGGCAAATCAAACAGTGCATCACTTAGGTATCAGCAAATACAAAAACATTTAAAAAATATTTAAACAACTATTGAAAACCACACACCTTTCCACAGAACACTAATAAAGTTTTATTTCAAAACCCTTCTATATGGAGTAGATACAGGTCACTTACCAAATTTTACAGAAACCAGAGACTCCATCAGCGCAAAGTGGCAGTGGGAGTCGTGAGATGCCCCCGCCCCTCCTTCTAGGTTTCCTTTATAAAGTCATTAGAACAAAACTTGCCCCAGGATCTTCAGGAAGTGTTCAGTGTGCAAGACCAGTATGGTTTTGGAATGATAAGGGCAGGCTCTGTCTGGGAGGCCAGGGAAAGCAGGGCCACAGGAACTCAGTGGAACACCCAGGCAAAGCGAGCCCTCAGCTGGGAGAGGCTCCCAGCAGCCCCCACTCCCACTGTGCTAACACACCTGCCAGTTAACCCTACGGGAAGCGGGCCCGGGGGCCACAAGGAGGACACACACACTGACCTGGTTCTTTTCATGGACAGAACAGAAAGCGCTGAGGAGGAGCTTAATGATGGACAAGTGATTATAGCGTGCGGCCACGTGCAAACAGGTATCGCCAGCCTACGGACAGAAATCAAACCCTAAGCACAGTCTGAGCAATCGTAAAACAAAGCAGAATGTAAAGAGAAAATATCATTTTAATGCTGGTGGACTAGCATATCTTTAGAGGATATCAGCCTGAATTATAAGCATCTCCTCTACCACAGATACTTGTCTCCAAGACTCACAGCCCTTTGCTGCTGTCTGCAGTCCGGCTCATTTTCCACCTGCACAGTCTCTGCTTTCATATGCTGGATGCCTACTTCCCATGAGGCCTCCACCACTGCAAAGGCAGGCTCTCCTTACCTAGCACTTGGTAAGAATCCAGTGACTCCAGCCTCTCCTAGCCCCCGAAGCCCCCGGAGTAAACTGAGTCAGGACCAGTGGCACTGCTTTGCAAATGAGGCTTTCCCATCATAGATGCATCATGGCTCACAGGACAGGGTAGCAGGGAGAGCAGGTTTTAAGATCACATGTGTTCTAAAAAATTCAAGCTGCATGCCATCTTGCATCCTGTAAGACCCCAATACCCTCTATGGAGCAATGCAGTCTGGGGACCTGCTGAGGAAGCAGTTACTAGACAGGAAGACAAAAGGGCATTCAGAAAGACTCAGCATCAGTATATCCCTTTAGTGGTCACAGGTCCAACTGCTCCCAGGGGACAATAATAAAACTGGAGACAAAGTTGTGCCATTCTGCAGTGCTCTCCTGACGTGTTCATTCTAGCTCTGTTTACGAATGGCAACCACTCAGCATGGCCTTCTCCCCTGGATCAAAAAGGAGCGCAGGCTGAGGCTCAGAGCACCCTGAGAACCGCTTTAGATGAGTCTGTCCCCAGTCACGGAGTCCCCAGCTAAGACCAGTTATTAAGAGAGGCCGTAGTCAGGTCCTCTAGCCAAAGTGGCGGAAGCTGGGACTTCAAAAGGAAATGCACTTTGCTGTGGAGGGAGGAGAAACATCCTTGTGACTTCTCAGGTCAGGCGTCCTCTGAGAGCTACTGGCCCTTATGAAGCTCACTGTAAGGATGCCTCGGGGATCAGCCTATAGACACAGGCACAGAGCACCGAAGACCCGCCCCGTGCAGCCCCATCCAGCATCGGTTACTAGTACAGCACTATGTGGGGGAAGACTTCCCTCAAGCATTTGGATTCTTCCTGAACTCATTCACCAGCCGGTGCTGCAAGAAGTGATGAAGCAAGCCAAGGCTGAGGAGCGAGGCGCAAAGGATGGGAAAAAGGAGGTGTTTCCGAGTCCTGACTCCTGTCTCATGCCCCTAGATGGCCCCTTAGGAAAGCAGCAATAAGTGAGTACTTTATCCGTAGTCCTCAAACACAAACATGTTTATTTCTAGATGTTAATACTCAAGTACGCGTTCAGGGTTATTTTCCAAGCGGACACAAGGAGTGTGAGAGGAGCTGGTCGCGTGCACCCACGTTATTTTTGAGGTCGGCGCGGGACCCGCCCAGCAGGAGGACGCGTGTGCTCTGGGAGTGGCTATTCTGGCAGGCCAGGTGCAGAGCCGTGTTCCCTGCCTGGGAGAGAGGCAAGAGAAGGGAGGACACGTTAGCAACGCACTTCTCGGCACACCTGCAATAGACAGGCCTTGCGGAGGGGCGATACTTACAGGAAAAAAATGTCAAGGCTCATGTTCTCTGCTTCCTAATTAGCAGTCCTGGTGTGGGTGCCTCAGTGGCAAGAACAGTTGATATGGAACCCAAACAGACAGGAGAGCCACATTTGTCACAAAACCTTGGTTCCAAGTCCTGTCTCTGCCACTTACTAGTTAAAGTTCGCTAGGTGAGGCTCTTAATATTCCCAGCCTTGAATTCCTTACCTGTAAAATGGAGCGTGACCCCTGTATCCTGAGGCTATGCAGACTGATTCAGAGAGCCTAGGAGAGCATTTTCTTAATGGTAAAATGCTGTGCACATCCACTGAGTTATAGTCCTCTTAGAGATGGCTGCATCCTTCCTGCCCGACAGGGATAACAGCTGTGGCTACAGCACTCCGCCCATGGAGTGCGGACAGCAGGACAGGCCATTTCCTGTAAGTGCAGGCTGAAGGAAACTGACTTAACTTGTAAGCCTTTTGCAAAGCATCCATGCTTGTGCTTTTCTTGAAACATCAAAATGTAAACTATGGACAAGTTCCACGCATAACAGGCAATACAATTCCACCTGTCACTTACCATACAGAGACCCTTTTGTTTTTTGGACTCTACCCTCAACATGCCATGTCAAAATGACAACCAAGGGGCAGAAAAATGTCCACAGCAACCTTGCAAAAAGAACTCATGACCTGACCAGAACTTTATGAAACTATGGGAATGGGGCATGCAAGGCCACTGATAACCCCTTAGGAGTGCAACAAGAAAAGCAGACCACCTGACAGACGTGGAGGTGGCCTGAGAGAGCCTGTGAGCGTGCAAGAGGCTGAATATCCAAGCTCAGTGCTTGTGCTGCTGAGCTGCAAAGCTGGGTCAGGACGGCACCTGCGTGAGCTCAGCGCTGTGACACTGCCTGTGTATAGCCTCTCCCTCTTGGGTCACAGCACTGCCTGCCATGCCCAGGGGAGTTATATGCCTCACTTTCTGAAAAGAGGAATGAGTTTAAAAATAAACAGGAAGACTGTATGCCTCTGGGCCACTCACCTCCCCCTCATAGCCTTGACTCTAACCAGCCTGGGTAGAGTCTTCCCCACCTCAGGGTGGGGTTACAATACCCTAGAGGTATTAACTCCAGGAACCTGTAGGTTACAAACCTCAGTGGTCATTAACCCTTTGTTGCACCTTAGAATCACCTGGAGAGCTTTAAAAATATCCATCACCGTTGCAACCCCTCCAGGACTCTGATTTAATACATGTGAGGCATGAGGTCTGGGTAGTTCAGGTTTTAGCTCCTGAATCCCAGGAGGCCCTCAGTGTAGGGCAAACTGGGGCAGCTGGTCACCCTAGACATAATCATCAGGGTGGGGACTTTTTTTTCTTACTTTTATTTGGTTTAAAATTTCCCTGGAGATCTTAAAAAGTACAGCCAAGTAGGGGAGTCACTGCTAGCTTACTTCTCAAAAATGAAGAATCTGTCTGCATTTAAAACATTCCATTTCCTATGAAAGAGCTCAGTGCTTGGCTTGGAGTAATTCTAATGAGAATTACACAAGGAATAGGTTGTCTAAGTTGTTAGCTTCATGGGAGTCATTAAATATGTATTGAATAAATTGGTGAGATAAAAGAAATCTGGTAGTTCTAGAAATATGTCATACCAAAATTCACTTCACTAAAAAGAAAATTTTAATCATGCTGAAAAGCATTTGGATCAAGAAAATTAAACACCTTGGGCTAGAATAAACAAATCACGGTATATCCACACGATGGAATATCCCTCAGCAACAAAAAGGAATGAACTAATTACATGTGTGACAACACGGAAGGATCTCAAAAACATGCTAAGTGAAAGCAGTCAGACACAAAATCCTACATACTGTATGATCCCTTTATATGACATCCTGGGAAAGGCACACCTAAGAAGGATGACCTTCCCTATATATGGATTTTACCTCAAAAGCTGACATTTTTAAAAAGTGACCTAGGTAGCTATACCTAGCAGGCATTTTTCCCAGCCAGAGCAATGTGTACTGATTTCCCAGACAGGGGCTGAAATACTCACTGGGTACGTTAGGACCTTTCTCATACAGTGGAATATTTTTCAACCTTAAAATTGAAGGAATCCTGTCGTTTGTGACGAAATGGATGAATCCAGAGGGCACTGTGCTAAGTGAAATAAGCCAGAAAGAGAAAGACAGTCCTGGATGGTATCACTGATATGTAGAATCTTTAAAAAAAAAAGTCAAACTCACAGAAACAAGGAGTTGAAAAGTGGTTGTCATGGGCTGGTGGATGTGGGAAATAGGAAGAGGTTGGTCAAAGGGCACAAGCTCTTAGTTATAAGATGAGTAAGGTCTGGGGATGTAATGCACAACATGGCGACTACAGGTGACAGCACTGTGTATTAAACTGAGATTTACTAAGAGTAGAATTTAAATGTTCTCACAAAAAAACATTTTTTAAAAAGGTAAATACATAAGGCAACAGATGTGTTGATTAACCCAGTGGGAGGAATCCTTTCACATCTTTTTGAACACTTTAAATATCTTACAATTTTATTTGTCAGTTGTAACTCAGTCAAGGTGGGGGTAACAAAAAAACCTTTCTGGAAGCTTCCCCAGGGGCTCTAGCTGGAGGAGAATCTAAAGTCCTCTTCTGGGATGGCACTTCACCTAAGCTTCCAACAGCCTCCTCTGTTTATCTGGATAGAACTTGCGGTTTCCATAGGACAGGAGGCAGGCAGTGTGCAGGGGCGCACAGACACAGGCCGGTTCATGGTTCTAATTGTATCACAAACGAATCATGTGTCTCAGTCAAGACTACTGGTTCCCAGCTTAGGCTTCCCTGTCCACTGCCTGGGAACCACCTACTTCTCAGAGTTGGTATAAACTTACCACCTCATGTTGTGGACTATGTATCACCTCAAAGAAATGGAGCGGCCACCGCCTGCCAGCCAGGAGGCCAGGGGGCCAGGAAGCCAGGGAGCCAGGGAACCAGGGGGCCAGGCATTACCGTAGATATTACAATGTATGGCCTGCTTCTTTCCCTCAAGCACGGGACCCAGGTGACCAGTGAGGGAACCTGAAGGATCATTTAACCAGTAAATAACAGCATAAAATGACTGTGTGCAGTGCCAAGGGAGTCGGCTGGGAACAGCCCGAGGGGTCCACAGGGAGGGAGGGGACGCTGCCCTGGGGAGCTGGGTGCAGGTCTACAGGCAGAAGTGAGGAGTAGGGGGGTGGGCAGTGGGAGGGGACAGGGAGTCTGCTCGGACACGCAGGAGGCCCAGATGTGGACTGTGACGGCATCGGGCTGAGGAGCTTTACTAGAACGTTTCTGAGCAGAGGGAAGAGCAGATAGAGAAGGGACTAGGCAGGCTGGCCAGTTTGCTGTGAGGCTTCCGAAGTAACCCGGAGATGCCTTAGCAATGAGCAGAGGAGATGGAGAGATGCCTGACAGACCAGCTGGGATGGGCGCCAGAGAGGGAGGCGGGAAAACAAGGAAGAAGAAAGGCTACCGTCCTTTCCCTGCCTCCCCGGGGACAGGGCTGCCGGCTTAGCCACTGCCAGGGCACAACACCTGGGGCAGCGAGCGCCAGGGCGCCAGAGGAAGCGAAGCCATGCCAGCAGGTGCCCGCGCTCACCACGCAGACATTGCTCACCACGGACTCCGGCTGTCATTGCCCTGCCAGGTCCCACGTGGTCCCCACGCCCTCCCTGCACAGGGACAGGGACGGGACCTGACAGGCAGCCTCACCCGTGAACGCGGGGGTCTAGGACCTGCCGGGCCTCACCTTGTTCTTGGCAAGCACATTGGCCCCTGCCTTGACGAGCAGCTGGGCGGACTGGCTGAAGCCGTGCCACGACGCCTCGTGCAGGGCCGTGTTCCCGTCCTGCAGAGCGCGTGCGGGAGGAAGAGCACGTTATCAGAGACCTGGTTCGTCACACAGTGATCAGTACATCCAGTTCATCTCATATGAACGCATCACGGTATAGATTCAGGGCACCCCACAGGGCCGTTCTCCACTGGGGTTTCTCACCCAACCCAGAAGTGATTTGAGGGGTCAGGCTCTCCACTCCCCCAGAAATGGTACATATCAATACCACGCTAGGTGCATTCTAGATTTATGATGTGCAACAGATGCCTTAAGGCACTAGGGGCCTAAGGCTCTCTGGCAACTCCAGCTGAGAAAGGCTCCGCGTCCGAACACAGGTCACATGGATCAGAAAACACCGTCAGGATGGCACCAAGTCCATTCCTGCCCCCAACCCCGCCACCACCCCTCGGGGTCTGCTCTGCACCTGACCCCAGAGAGAACCTGAAAAGACCGGGAAGATGAAGAGTCCAGTGTCCTAAATTCCAGGGGTCCAAGGGTTGGATGGGCAGATGCCACCCTGCCCCTTTCCATCCCGCCACATTTTAGTTCTCATAAATTTAATCTGACCCAGCTTAATCCAAAAGCTTCTGGCCCCCCCAAAATAAGCAGGCACTGAGAAAACAGATTCGTGAATGAGATAAACAAGAGTCCTCAGTCATGGGGCTTTTAAATAAAAATCAAGCAATTGACATAGCTGGTATTGCCTTAACTTTCTATAAAGAAACATTAAGCACAATGAATTGGGTTGGGCGGGGCGGGGAAGGCTTGGGTGAAGGGGAGGGATCAGCGCAGAGAGGAGGCAGAGGCCGCTGGGGCTGTCCAGCCGGCAGGGACAACCCGCGGGGAGCAGCGCAGGCCCACCCTCCAGTTCTGCCCCATCCTCTGCCTTAGGCTTTTATTCCACTGGTGCCAAGAGATGAGGATTAATGCTGCCACATCTGAGAAGAGGGGAGCCTAGCGCTCTGAGGCCATGGTACCAAAGGCCAGGCAGGGCGGAAGTGCTGGGAATGGGGGTGGCAGTGAGCGGCTGACTGACTGCAGGAAGCAAGCAGAAAAGTAACTGGAAGGGGGTGAGGGTGTCCAGGGTGCTGGTTCCAGCCTGCTTCCCCATCTGGTTGTTCACAGTGGGGTGCTCAGGTAGTGAAAACTCACTGTGCCGCTTGCTTATTGGTGTACTTTCATGCACATATATTACACTTTCATAAAAGTTGTTGGAAAAAGTAAACAGAGGCTGACTTGCACTTAGTTGTCATGTTCCATGATTTAAGATTGTTTGACCACTTAAAAACAATGGAGTTAAATAAAATATGTCATTGGGATGTCATAAAGATTGCTTTTGCTAATTTTTTTCCCAATATACTTAAAATGACTCACTCACTATTCTGAAAATAAAGGTAACCAGAGCACCTGGGGCACATACCTTCCCCAGCCAGGCACACACAGGCCATCATTTCCGGCCAGCTTTCACTCTACCATTTATATCTCTGTGCTTACCCACGGCTGCCACAGAACAGGGGGAAGGACTAAAAAAAACTGCTGAGATATTAGATACTCTTTCAAGGCAATTTGGGCTGATTTCACCATGTTAAATCGTGAGTGATAAGACTCAGGAATGATCAGTATAATATTGCCTGTCATCTATATGCCAATAAAAAAGGTTTAAAAAAATACATAAGACTCAGGAATGACAACATCTTGGGCACTCAAAAGTTCCCCAAATGGGGTCCTCAGGCCAACATGGCCCACCCCACCTTGTCCTGCCGGTCCAGAGCACAGCCCTCCTGGATGAGCGCCGCGATGACCTCGGTGTTCCCTGCCACTGTGGCCCGGTGCAAGGCGGTCTGCTCCCCCTGCAGAGTGGGACAGAGGCAGGAACAGCTGTCAGCGCCCCCACCAGCCCCCCACCACCCACTCACTCTCTCCTCCATTCTGACACAAGGCCATGTCCCCTCCCTGCATGGTACGGACTGGTCCCCAAGCTGGGCAGGGCACTTTGTTCCCAAATTCAGTGGAAACCTTGAGTGGGACCCCATCCACAGAACAGCCCTCAGCTGCAGAGCCAGCCTTAGAAAGAGGTTCAAGCACTCGGCCGCCACCACGGGGCATGGCAGCGTGCAGCAGGACTGTGACTGCCAGGCTGTGAAGAGTGGGTCTGAGAAGCGGCAATGCCGGGAACCTTGGCTCCCCGAGCTCTCCAGTCCCTGCTCTCAGAGGAGGCGCTGCCCAGCTGTGTCAGTGAGCAGCTCTCAGATCTGCCGACTCACCCGTACTGGCCAGACAGATGTAGGGGTTTACACTATGTCAGCTGAGGACCCCAGAGCCTGCAGGCGTCCCTGCGTATCTCCAAGAAGCCTCTCCGGGTACTTCCTGACAGCATCCTTACTGACTTATGCTGCCTTTGATCCCTTTCTCTGGGGTCAGATCCCTGCGACTGCCGACCTTCTCTTTTCTTCAGGGCACCTGAAGGAACTTTCTCCTAACTGCACTTGAGAGGGCTGAACACTCCCAGAGGCACAGCAGTCAAGACTGGAACAAGAGAGGGCTCTGACGTCTGTAAGCACGTCTTCTCTCTGACGTATCAGGGAGTCAGGCTGAGACCTGGGGTCTAGGCTGGAAAGGGGAGACGGGGGGAGCCATGTGGAAAATTCTTGGTGGGAAGGAAAGGGCACAGGGCAACGGCGTCAGAAGAGGTGAGTAGTGCCCAGTCTTGGGAGACAGCTGCCCCCTCACTGGCCCTCAGGCTCTTCACCTGTGAAAGGAGGGGGTGGATGATCCCAAAGGCCCCTCCCTGCCCTTCCTGGACTCTGTGATTTGGTTGGTAAACATTTTGCATAAAGGCAGTTTCCTGGTGGAGCCCCAGGAGAGGAAAGGAGGGACCCTGGGCCTCCCTGGTCCCTAGCCTAAGAGAGGAAAGAGACCACTGCAAGACAGAAAACATGGAGAGTTTTTAAAGAGGGATGCATGGCTATTTATAAACAACCTTAATGAAATGCTGGTTCTACTTGTTAAACTCCCTAGAACCCGTAACCAACAGTAGTGTACATTACAGCACTCGGTCCAAAGAACAGTTGTAGGGATGGGGGCTGGTGATGGTCGCACAGTGACGGGAATGTACTTAATGTCACTGGACCACACTGTCAAAAATGGTTAAGGTGGTAAATTTATGTTGCATACGTTTTACCATAATAAAAAAGCAATTATGCTATTTGAAATTCAAATTCACCTTAAAATTTTAAAATCTTCCTTTAAAAATCCACATGGGGAAGTGACTTTTATTTTCTTCCTTGTATTTTTTACTACTTTCTAAGTTTTTCTATTAAACACGTAATGCGAGCATCAGGAAAAACTACCATTTATTAAAGGTCTGAGCTGTAACAATATGGCATTAAAGGGACCGGCCATCTCTGGAAACCTTTTCTCACTGTTCATTCACACAGTTAAGGGGTTCCCCGGGGGAGGGTCAGGACACCCAGACCCACTACCACAGTTTCACCCACCGTCCTCAGCATTTCTATCCAAAATTCTCCCCTCGCCATTCTAAGCTATTATTCTCATCATAAATTAGGTGTAGAGTTGGTTTTCTTCTCACCCACCTTCCCGGAGCCCTTACTTAAGAAACAAGACCCTTTCTGGGTGCCATGCAGTCCAGAGAATGCAGCCCCGAGTCAGCAGGCGCAGGAGGTGTGCCCAGCCATTACACACCCGTTTCAAACATCTTAGGAAGTGTTTCCAGAGGAGGTGATCTTAAAGCCCAAACTAGTAACTGTAGGAGAAGTTGCCCAAGGCTTAGCTTTTTCAACTTTCTACAAGAATTTCCAAGACTGCCCATCTCCCCATCAAAATGGTGATGGGTTTTCTTGAAATGGATGCTAAGTGCAATTTTCACTGGCCTGCTAGGAAGATGGAGCTCTGATCTCAGCAGGCAGGGGAACTGCAGCCCACTCTCTCAAGGGAAATGGTGAGGGCAGATTTCTAGCTGTTAGAGGCCTGTAACATCCCGACACACTGCTGGCACTCTGACCAGCCCTCTTCAAAGCAAAGACAACCTTTTCACAGAATGAAACTTAACCCCCCCGCCCATGTCGTGCCTCAAGCATGAGCAGCAAGCCCCGCAAGCTGGCTCCTCTTGCTGTAGAGTCACTGCACAAAGGGCCTCGCTGGTGAGGACTCAGTCTAACCCGAGCCTTGCTGTAGGTCAGATGTTTTATTTGCTGCCACTAAATCATGAGTTGAAGGAGCTTTGGAGCCGGAATGTCACCATTATTCATTATGCGCCTTCGCATGAAACTACTGTATTTGCTTCCCTTAAGGTAACATGCCTTTGTGAAACTCTAGTTTAATGCAAGAAGCTAAATCTAACCGGTAGTTAGCCCTTAAAAATAAATTTCCTAATGGATTATCAAGGCTTAAGGAGCTCTAACAACTTGTGGGAGGGGGCAATGAGAACACGATTGCCCTAAGCCAGCTGGCATGGGTGTCCCTGGCCACTGTTCTTGCCCTGCAGAGACCTTTAGCTGCCCTGCCTCCAGGCCACAGTTTTCCCTCCATCTGTCACCCCCTCAGAGACCTCACGCAGAGCCTGGGTCCGTGGCTCACCAGCCCGATGAGCACTGTCACAGCCCAAGTCAGCCTTGCCCACTGTAAGAGTTGCCTGGTAGCTGGACCATTAGCTTTGTTAACACCAGGTAGGGTAGTTCTGGAGGCCTGAGTGAGGAACCCCCTGGCGTATAAAAACCAGCCACTCAAAAGTGACCGGTATGAGAGTTAAAAGCTGGAGAGACATGAAATACACAAGCAAAGGGCCACCTTGAGCCACCTCTCTCACAGCCGTTCTGCTCAGAACACAGCACAGCAGGACACCTAAGACCCTCGCTTGAAACAGGGCCAATTACCTGGAAATCAACTTTTCTTCCTCTAAAAGTTAAATTCACTATTGAAACATTTCCTCATGAAATTCTGAGATGGAGAAAAAATGCTAGAAAAAGGATGGTACTTTTAAGAGCATTTGCTAATTATTTGTTCAGTGAATCATTACTGACCCTCTACTATGCTCCAAGTGACACGACCTCTAATTCTCCATTTTATTGATTAAGAAACCAAGGCTCAGTGCGGTTCAGCACCTAGCCTAGGATAACCAGATAATTCGGGGTAGCATGGTCAGGCCGGAATTCAAATTGTCCAGGGTCTTGGCGCTTAGCCCAAGTTGCTTCTAACCTGTGAAGTTACTTAACCTTAGGACAGGCCTTTAAAAAGACCAGGTGCCCTCATGGGGTTGGGGCTGCCCCTTCATGGCATCACGAAGCTAAGGGCTTTAGCATAGGACCATCACACTCCAGGCCCCCAAGAAGTGCTTGTAGGCTGATTAACACAGAGCAGAAGGAAAAATGCTGCAGTTGGGCTTTTGAAGAGCCAGCAAACTTGCACTTTGGCACTTTGATCTGGAACAAGCTGACCCATTTGCAAAGTGCATGAACTGCCAGTTCTCACTTTTTCTAAAGACATCAGTGTTTCTCACTTTGGAATTTAAGGAGTTTGCAATCTCTGAGGTCTACATCTTTGTTCTGAAGTACTTTTACTTTCCTTTTCTGTGTGGTGAAAAGAGTGAGCGCAGGCAGATTCCAAAGCAAGTCTCATGGAAGAAACCCAAAGTCATGCACAGGCGGCACATGCCCCACCCATTCAGGAGGAATCCCTCCCAGGTGTTGCAGGCAGACATGTTGCAAGGAAGCGCAAGACAGCGTAGGTGTGCAAAGCAAGTTGCTGACCTCTGTTTCTCTCTCTGATCTTCTAGGGTTCTTCCTAGCCTTTCTTCTCTGGTTTTTCTTATTTTTTTCATCCTTCATGGTTTTCACCATGGCCACACAGTCCTGGACTATATCTGAGGTGGGGGCGTTGTGACTGCACACTGACCACTCAGAGATGGCGTTAGAGCTCCAAAGAGGGTTGATGGGATTGGCGGAAAGCGAGAGGGAATTTGCTCCTGGAGTTGCATATTCTAAAGAACTGGTTTCCACAGGTTGAAAGTCATAATAATCCCACTCCAGGCCACTGGAGGTCATTCTTCAACTAATTCTCAGTCCTTACCATGACATAAAGAACAGTATCTGTAGAATATGAAGTTAGGAGTAAATTCTTTGTAATATTAGCATTCTCTATTTCTACCCATCATCTAAGACAGGTAACTTCTGAACTGATTTTTTTCCAATAATCTCTAAGTCTCTTTAAAGAACACCCATAAAGAGTTTTCTTCTTCGAATTCTTGGATAAACTTCAAGGCCGATCATCAACAGACATGGTAAATATATAGAACAGACATGAATCACATTCTGGCAAATGCAATATTCAGAACTAGTGAATTTTACCTTTTCCATTCCCAACTATTTTTACACTATTTTGTTGTTAGTGTGTTTTTGTTTTGTTTTACTTTGTCTTAAGTTATCTGGGAGAGTTAATGTATGCATTGTCTGTCTAGAGCAAGGAAAAGATGTAGGAAAATACTTAATCCCAATAAATGAAAGAGGGTGTTTCTGTCTAAAAATAGAGCTGACTTTCCTTTTGCTGGCATGTGTCTCCTCTTGGCTACCTTCTGACAACTCCTTACTATTTTACTTCCTACCTTGCCTGATATAAACAGCAGTTCTATGAAGTTAGCATGGATTTGCTCCATTGAGAACTCAATAGTACTTGGAGCTCAGGACCTGAGGCAGAGAGCTGTGCTGGGATGGGTTGGCAAGCCTCAGGCAAGGACTTCACTGATGGCAGAAGATCAGACGCATCCTAAAGTGTGTGCACCAGCAACTCAACGCCCTTCCTTCTCTGTGGTCACAACCTCTCTCCCTATATTTTGCTCCTGCCATCTAAAGATGTGATACAACCAAGAATGTTATGAGGGCTACAGTGTAGGAAAATAAAAAGCATTATGACCTATGGTAGAAATCACCAGCTTAGAGCTAAATTAGAATCTTTTGAAAATAAGATCCTTGATGACCCAACAGTTTCCAAATATAACTGGGGACTTATGAATGACACTGGACAACCTCTGCCCGTGAATAAAGCAATGACATTTTTAGGCATTTCTTTGGAATGGTACCCTTCTCACTTGTGTGTTTGCCAAGCTTTCAGACATTCACACAGAGGCCCAAAGAAACCTAGAAGTGCTTTGGTAAGCCACACCCTAGCACACTATGGGTCTGAAATTTGGTAACAGTCTGTAACCACGGTTAAGGTGAATCTGGAAGAGGTTATGATAAGCACAAAACTCTCCAAGATTCTGTGTCTTCCTATAAGTTCTTGTCTTAGAGTCCCCCTACACAAATCAGAATTAGAAACAGTTTCTGAAAATAGTTTCCAATCACATTATTACAGGACTTTTTCCTAATACTCACTGGAGGACAAATGACATAATCTTGTCTGCATCCCTTTCTTAGAGAAACGACTTCCCCAAGACCTCATAGGGCAACCCTCGATACTACGAGTCCTCACCGCCGGCCCTGCTGACGGACTCAGGAACCTGAGAGGAACCAGCTGGAGTCTTTGTCCAGATCAATCTGAATGAAGAGACTCAGGGACTGGCTCTTAAAAACAGCACAGCACCAAAGTGAGCTCTTTCTGAAGGCTTCCTTTTGCTGGATCCTATGAGATCAGGTTATTTTCCTTTGAATAGGCCCTTTTTAACTAAAGGTACACTAAGAGAAATCAAGGTGAGAAAAGGAAGAAATTATGCTTTTAAGCACCATCTTTATTCCCATGGTAAGCCTGGCCTGACACGCATTTCCAGTAGCCTTGATATGTGTGTGTGTGTTTGTGCACGTGTGTGCATGCGCATGTGTGTGGGGGGTGGGGGGTGTTCCTTCATACTGAGACAGGATAAGCAAAATGCCCTTTGAGACTCTGCACTTGAATGATGCTAGAGAGTAAATGAACCGTCATGAGAAACCTGCCCAACACTCCCCAAATCTAACTTGCTAGTGAGGGAGAGACCCAGAGCAGGTCTTCAAGGGAAAGTTACTCCCAGCACAGGGACGGAGAGAGAGAATCCACTACCGTCCCGCCTCACAGATAGTACACTGCACTGTCGATTTCTAGGTAGACAACCTCCCCTGACAACCCACCCCTGAAAGAAGGATGGCTTCTACTTACATCATCCTGGACGTTGAGGTCGCAGCCAGCCTTCAGCAAGATCTGGACCACAGAAAGATGGCCCTTATTTGCAGCAAGATGCAGGGGGGTCCGGCCATGCTGTTAATGCAAAGCAAACACTGAGTTCAGAACAGTATATCAAAACCTCTCCCCTGGAGTGGGGAGGGGCTAGAGCGAGTTTTCCAAGTGGCACCTCCCCGTCTCCCTGACCACTTCGGTGTGGCAAGAGATTCAGAATTCAAGTTTGTCTCAGTTAACAACGTTGGCTACTGGCATTCTAATAAGTGAACAAAATATGCTCAAACTGTGAAGATTTCCTTTGGCGTGTAATTTCTACTCCCACTCATCAAACTAACAAGTAGGAAATAAAAGGGTTTCATGTTTTCTCTTATTTTCCCACTGGTGCTAACAGTCAGGGATGATGATGTGGCCCCAATTAATCTGACGGGGCAAGGATGGGTGAACAGGAAAAGGTCAAGCTCATCAGCCCCAGAAAAATATGGTTACTAATTACTCAAAACTGCAGCTGCTGAGCAAACTGATTAGAAAAGGTTTTCCTCCTTTTTAATAACAAGTTCTAAAATTACAAAGTATTTCATCCATTCAAAAACATGAAGCAAAATTTTTAAATGTACATACCAACCAACGACTTTAAGAAAACACTAGAGAAACCGCATAGCTCTTACAATCTTTTCCAAGATGCAATTCCCCCCTGACTCGAGATAACCACTCTTAAATCTGGTATTCATTATTCTTTTGCCTTTTATTATATTTTACTGTTTGTAGCAATAAACAATATATAAACATTGTGCTTGTCTTCAGAGCTTACATAAACAGCATTAAACTAGATAACATCATCTCGCAAATTTTGTCCAACAAAATTATTGTAGAGAAAATGGAAGTTACCATGGCTAGGATCCTCACCTGACCCTAATCTACTTGCCACCATGCATGTGCTATGCTCACCAGTGCATGACTGCACACCTGTTGGCAGTGAGCCATAGCTGTCTGTGTTGCTATATAAGGGGCTCAAATCAGTACTCTGCCCAAGGTTTTAAGGAAGTGGAGAGGCCTGGAGACAGAGATGGATTGTGAATTTGCCTAAGGCAGACGTGATTCTAGTACTTGACTTGTCATCACAAGAATAAAGCTTGGTAAGACCTTTTACTTCCAAATGTCCCACTGTCATTTTTCAGTCTCATTGAATCTAGAGTGGACTTGCCCGCAGCTGAAACCCCCCTCAGGTGAGACATTTGGCATAGTCGGCAGGATTCACTGCGGGAACCTCTTATGGAAGAGGAGGAATTTAGGTGTCCCCCAGGCGACATGTGGACTGAGGTAGCTTTCTTCCTGAGGAGTGGGCCCCTCCCCAGGACTTGGGGGAGGTGGCGGTGACACCTGAGGCAATGACAGAGGCCCTCCACAAGATTGGGAGATCCTTAGAGAAACATAGTGCCTGAAAGGTGGTGGGAGCTGTGGTTTGGCTATTTCTCACAGCATTAAAAAAAGGCTATGAAGGAGATGGATGAACTCCTGTGAGAAATACAAGAAGATGCAGCATGTGAATGCAAGCTGCATGGAGCCCTGGAGGAAGTTAAAAATGTGTTGATGACTGAGATGGCATGACTGCAAGGTGCTGTGGGAGGGGTAAAGGATGTAATGGTAGCACAAGCAGTGGCAGCATGAGAACACAGGCCGGGAGGTGCTGTGGGGGAGGTAAAGGACGTAGTGGTGCCGTCAGCTCCAGAAATGGTGGAAGATATATCAGACAAGGATGAGGGGAGGGGTGTGGTGCTGGAGGCACCAATCTCTTCTTTATTGAAATCCCGCCTGGTTGTAGTTAAGAACATAAAGACGCAGCACCACAAATTCTTCTGGGAGAGAAGCAGCCCTTTCCCCAGGTCGTGGAGCACTCCATACTCCCCTACACACAGGCAGAGCTGGATTTGGGCTCCAGGTTTCATCAGAAACCACTGGAGTCCCTGTCAGCCTGGCTTCTGAGCCTTTGGGATGTAGGGGTGGATGGGTTTATTCTGTCTGGGTTAGAAATTGGAAAGCTGGCTTCTCTAACAACTCATCCTGCTTTAAGGTAGCAATTACAAAATGTACACCAGACCCCAGGCAATCACTTCCACCTTGACTGGCTGATGGCTGCACTGTGAACTGTATGGCCCAATCAGGGTGATTTACCATCTTTTCCAGCTAGATGGCAGATGTATGCCAAGCTCCAAAAGATATTATGGGCATTGAGCATGAAAAATGCCATTTATAACCCAGGAAATCATGGCCCAGATGAGGAGCCATTTACATCAGGGATGAGGGTTACCATGTTACAAACAGCTCCCCCATACCTCTTTGGGCCCTTTCATGCCCTTCACTTAGGGCCACCCATGAATGAGGTCACCTGTACTGGGACAGATTTGGGAGAGGCTGAAGCGATGTGGGCATGGAAGGGAGTACAGTCCACTGCTGAGAGGAAGGGCTTGAAGGGCCTGTGAAAGTCATAAGGACCCAGATGTGGGTTGAACTATAAAGGCAAGAGAAAACAGAGAAACTGGATGGGAAGTAAAATAAAATCTTACTGGAGCTGTGGCAACAACGGAAGCCAGAGCAGTGGTTCTAGCTGCTGAGGACCAAGAAATGGAAGCAAGAGACCCACAAGTCTGGCCAGTGTGTCTGAAGGACTTCCTGCTGGGGAGGGAGCTGACTCTGCCTGGACCTTCACAGGCAGACAATTGGGCAATACTGTTTGACTGAGGAGAGGGTCAAGGCACCTGGGGGACTGGGTGGGGGCCAGAGGTCACATGTTGAAATATCCATTCATTGGTTCCCAGTGAATGTGTAATGTGTCCTGGCTCTGGTGGACACAGGAGCTGAATGCTCACTCTGATTTATGGCAACCCTGAGCAGTTTCCCAAGACCCCTCCTGTGATAGATGACTATGGGGGAAAGGCTATCAGAGTGAAACAAGCCCTAATCCTTTGGGAATAGGGTATCTACCCCTAAAGAAGTGCAATGTATATATCTCTTCCATCCCTGAATGTATTTTGGGGATAGATATCCTGCAGGGCCTGGGGTTGCAGACCACTGCAGGTGAGTTCAGACTGAGGATATATGTGGTAAAGGCAGTTCTGAGGGGACGTGCTAAGCACCCACCCATAGCTTTGCCTGTGCCTTGGTAGGTGACTAATACCAAGCAATACAAATTGCCTAGAGGGTATAAAGGAATTGGAGAAACCCTTCAGGAACAGGAGAAGGTAGGTATTATAAAGCCCACCCATAGCCCTTTTAATTTCCCAGTGTGGCCATTAAAAAAGCTGGATGCCTCCTGGTGCATAACTGTAACTACAGAGAATTAAACAAAGTCATACCCCCTCTGCACGCTGCTGTTCCCTGTATTACAGTCTTTATGGATACCCTCAGTCAAGAACTAGAGACATATTATCATGTTGTGAATCTTGCTAATGTCTTCTGTTCCATTGACATAGCCCCAGAAAGTCAGAAACAGTTTGCCCTCATTCACATGGGAAGGACAGCAATGGACTTCCACTGTTTTCTACAGGGGTCCCACATTTGGCACAAATTCTGAAGACCTTAGACCATCTGGTACAAAAGGGTGTCAGGTGGTAGTGGGATGAAACATGTGCATTTGCTTTTGCTGCTGCAAAGCGGGAAGTCAAGGCCATGCAGGCCTTGAGTGTGATAGACCTATCAAAGCCCTGTGAGCTGGATGTCCATGTGACCAAAGATAGTTATGGCTGAGCCTTTGGCAGCGGCTTGGATGAATGCACCAACCTATTGGATTCTGGTCATGTTGCACAGACCAGTGAATGACCAAAAGAAGCCTAGAGAGTCTCTCTGCAGTCTATGACTGACCGCAGGTAATTGAGAGTGATCAAGGTACCCATTTTACTGGACATGCACTACAAGAATGGGTACAGCATTTAGGGATAAAGTGGAAGCTTCATGTACCATATAATCCTACAGGGGAAGGCATGATAGAGAGGCACAATGGCTTGTCAAAATCTGGCCTGAAGTCAGAAACCAATAGTCTGCAGGGATAGTCAGTCCAATTATGGACAGTGCTACGGCATTTGAGTGAGAAGCCCCGGAAGAGGGCACTGAGCCCTGCAGACATGCTAATACACACGGCTGCCTTCCCTATACAACTGCAAGCACAGACCAAGGAGGAATCATTGAAGCTGAGGTTTGACCACCAGAATAATATCTTGCTTCCAGCACCAACTGCAATAAATCCTGGAGACTCAGTTCAGTGGCTTTGGCCTTGGACATTTTGACATATGAGGGACCAGTGATGGGTAGCCCTCCAGAGACCTTGGGGACAAGGTCTGGGAGCTGGATCCTGTGTATTCCTGGAGTAACAGCAGAGTGGCCCCCAAAGATCACAGTAGTGTATCCTAAATGGTCAGAAGGTAAGAGCATCTTACCAAGGAGTTTTGTTTTATCTTCATGGCCAGTGCATGCACCTCCAGTAGCACTATATCTAGACCCCTTAGTAACCCCCACAGGGAGAGGGGTAAAGGTATGGCATACTAGACCTGGATGGGACCCCCTTTTCTGTTACAGTCCTATCATAGGACCACTCTCTTGCATGCATTTTACCTGATGGACAAGATTTGCCTATGTTGGTGTCATTAAAACATGTGTCTTACTGCCCGTCAGGTTAATTTCCTCTAATGTCTTTGTGGATTGGGCACACACCCTAGCACTGCTTTCTGGGTGTGCATGGAGCTCCCTACCAGTTCAGCTACTGGCCTCCTGTGGAAAATGCGAGTCATGAACTCACCTGCGTAGAACTGGTTTGAATACAGCTGGAATGACCAGTTGGGGCAACCAGATCCTCAGGCTTGAGGATGACTGCTATTACTGTAATTTTTGTTATCAGTCCTCAGGTTTGAAAATGACTATTATTATCATAATTCTGTTGTTATTTGTATGTTGTTATAAAGCCTCTGTTGCTGTTATGGAACCTGGTTGCAATGTTCCAGCTTTCTCGCACAGGGACCATTGTTGAAAATTGAAGTGTGTAGTTTTAGTGAGGCAGGAACCCAGAGGGGTGGAGTGCAGGGAAAACAGAA